TGCTGGTGGTTCTTCCTCAGGCAACCAGTCCCAGCCTAGCACCACCTCCCATGTACAATTGGTTGACGCCAACGTTTGCCAATCCCCAACTATGACTGTTTGTCCTTTCTCCCCTCAATATGCTTTGCTTGCTTCTGCTCCTACTTGACCCAGTATATCGATGAGTGTGATGTGTATGCAGGTTGGTAGTTGTAATGAAATGTTTGGGATATTTTAGTTAGGTAACTTCATAAGATTTGGGTAAATTACTCAAAGATCACCCAAGTAATTAGATTTGCATTGTGTTGCGCAGTGAAGAATGTCCTGCACAAGAATGTTGTTGTGTCCTTTTGAAGATGACATAAAAACAGCAGAGTGCAGCTAATGTTTTATTTTCCAAAAACAAATTCTGTTTTCCTATTTGTTTAAAAATTTTCTCATGTTCCAGTGGTTTTTTCTGTTCATGCTTTTCTGTTCATTTAATTTTTTTCTACGTGTCTTTTTTCATCTTTCTTTTTCTTCAAACCTTGAGGTTATCATATAATAGGTTATGTATGCAAAGTTCATAAGCAGTATATCCTATTACAACGTATGGCCATATTTGCTAGTCACCTACAAAGCTCAAGTTGAACAACGGCCTCTTACGCTTGTCTTTTAATCCGTACTTTTCGAACACAGTCTTTTCGGAAGCGGTGTTTTTTCTCTCACAACGAATCGGTAGGAACGAGTGTTTGACTTGTTTTTTTTAGCGAAGCGAAGCAGACAATATATCACGACCAATCAAATTTAGCGCACCAAGAGAAACGACTACCAAAACACACAAGTAGCAACTAAAACACACAAGTAGCAACTAAAAGCGAGACTCCTAGGCAGGATGGAAGTAGGGAACACATCATAACCCATAGGCCGAAGCTAGTCCAAAGGACGTGACAGCCACCTCCATGTGACCATGGCACTTTACCATCGTCCGATGAAGACCCGACCTCATCTTAAAGCACAAAATAGTCAAATTCATGTATAACTTAGCGAGAAAAATCTTTTCAAACATGGCCTGATGGACAAACTCAGATTGTTTTATAGGCTCTGGGAGACTAAGGACGGACCCTACCTCATCTTAAAGCATGAAATAGTCAAATTCAAGTATAACTTAGCGAAAAAAGATCTTCTCAAACATGGCCGATGGACAAACTCACATTGTTTTATAGGCTCTGGGAGACTAAGGACTTTGCAAATGTTAGGAATGATCAAAGCTTTGGTTCCAAAATCATACCAAAACTAAGGCTCTGTTTGACGTGGCTTCATTTTGGTGAAGCTTTTTTAGCTTCATCTTCATGAATAGCTCAAGCGATGGAGCTAGAGATGTTTTCTCAGACCGTTTGACAAAACGGCTTATCATGGTGGCGAACAAAAATGAAATAACTATATTGTCCTTTTCTTTATATTTTTCCTTCTCTATTTTTTTCTTCTTCCCTAATCGCCATAGGCTTCTTCTCCACGCAGGCGGCTGCGCCCGAACAATGCCTGGCCTGCCCCGGCGGCGGAACCCGCGTGCTCGTAGTCATGGTCGGTCCTCCTGCGCGCCCTGGCAGACCGCGCCCACGCCTCGGCAGCCATGCCTGCGCACCCGGCGGTGATCGTGCACGCCATGGCGGTCGTGCCTGCACTTGGCGGCGGCGTGCCCTATTTGCCCCACTCGTGTCATGGCCTGATGGCTGCTCCCTCCTCACACCTGTTGATGGGGGCAAAAAAAAAGACAAACTTTAACTCGAGTTGGCACCCACTGTGCGAGGTGGAGCTAGGTAAAGCTACTATTTTTAGCTCCACCTTCCACTAGTTCTTTGTCTCAGCAGGTTTCAAGGGCTAGTTCTTTGTCTCATCGGGTTTTAAGGGGCTCTTTGGATAGAGTTATTTAGCTTTATTATGTTGGGCACAAAACGGCTCTAAATTGTTCTAGAGCTAGTAGTGGAACTGTGCCAAACAGAGCCTTAAATCACAGGCAGCAAAAGTTTGGCTTGCCAATGATGAACCCACGTGTTAACCGTTCTTGCCACCCATACCTTTGCCCCAAGGTTGTTATTGACAATATTTCTTTGACAGCAATCCTACCCAAACCATGGATTACTCCCCGTTATGGCACCAACCGAACCGATGGCAACATTGCTTTGCATGGCACTCAACAAACAGGAGCACCCACAAAGTCTCTTCCAGTTGACGGGCGAGGCCTGCAAAACAAGCTTGACCGGCTCAAGGTTGATTTAGTTTGAACACACGCTAGCGAGGCCCGCAGAGCCGAGCTTAAGGCCAGTCTCAGTTTCAAGATTCTCGTATATTGAAAATAGTGTAAACAAGTTTCATCTCATGAAACTTTCATCTTCTCTCTCTTCATCTACACTGAGACTGGCTTGCGACTCATTTATACATGTGAAAGATGCTATTTATGTCGCTTTATATCAATCAATTGATCCAAGTTGGTTTCCACTGAGTCATTACAGTGTTGATCCAAGTTGGTTTCCACTACATATTTTGCTAAAAGGTTCTTCACTGCAAAATGGTAAAAGGTTCGTCACTGTAATGGCTCACTGTTATTATAATATCAAGTGGGTTTAGTATGGTTAGGTTACACACTCCTGAAAATCCTTGTCAACAGTAAGGGGCATGACCTGGCACTTTTAATAGCTTTGAGTCCGTACTGCGTTTGGATCAACACGCCACACAAACTTGGAAACTGCAGGGTTCAGGAACTTGCTAAGTGCTGTTGCTTCACCAGTGTGCATTCTATCAATCATGGCCAATCACTAGTGCCCGGTTCTAGAAAAGTTGCCGCTGCATTATTGCCCACGATTGAAACATTGATGCCAAATGTCACCGGCGCTTTGCTTCACCAGTGTGCATTCTATCAATCATGGCCAATCACTAGGGCCCGGTTCTAGAAAAGTTGCCGCTGCATTATTGCCCACGATTGAAACACTGATGCCAAATGTCACCGGCGCTTTATCACAAGAGGATTTGACGCATCAGGTAATCAGTTTTTTTTTTATATAACAGGGTAATTAGTTGTAGAAAAGTGTTCATACTTCACAGTTTGAAATGCACTGTAGAAAGCCACTTCATATTGAGCGGATGTCTTTGCTTTTGATAGATTGTGTGGTCTATGGTTTGTGCCATATTTTTTTGGTCATAAACAAGGAAATGCAATGGCATCAGAGAGACCCAGAAAGTGCAATTATGAAGATGGGAGAGGCTAGCAGCTTAAGAAAATGGTGTCTTCATTGCCACACAGGGTAAAGAGAAATGCATTGCAAAAAGAAGAATGTCCTAGTTCAAAGAAAAGGACCTAAACTGATTCAACCTTCAGAACTAAGATGATTATTGATGAGGAAATAATACCAGTTCCACAGAGGACATCTGCATGCATAGAAGGAAATAAATGCCTAATTAACCAACTAAGAATTGGAAGCCATATCAGGTGCACAAAGATTGGTTACAGTGAAAATAATATCTGCCTTATGGTTTAACATATTTCTCATAGTTAGGTTCAGCAACCTATGTAATTCATGTAGCCAATTTCACAAACTATGTTGTCATGGGTGATTTTTCATTGGTCATCCATTGTGAGAAACTAATAATTGCAAGAACCAACTAAAATGCTTCAACCTAATGTATTATCACTTTGCTATGAGCATTCAAATGCTTAATAGCCCCCCTACAACTATGCAATGCTTTTGCAACAGGGTACAACTGCACAGTCCCCTTGTATCAGTAAGATCAGCAAGTGCTATAGCTCTTCCCTTCCTTTCTATAACCAGTTTTGATCAATGATGGGCTATAGATCTTTTAAACAAAAGTCTATCACTTCCCTTTTCTCAACCACCAACAGGTTCCACACCAAGTGACAGACCAAGTAAGCTTTGCCCTAGATCCCCATTTGCTAGGGAAGCATAAAGAAGAGAACCATAAAAGGGCTTTCCAACAAAGTTTGTGCTCAACGAAAATGCTAAGTAGATCCCTTTCCAGTGCGAGCCTACAAAAAGACCCATGTTAATCGACCATTACATCTTTGCAGTATCACCACCTAAGCCAGGCTCATTTCTCATGGCCGCCTTCTTCATCTGCTGTCCGTCAATCTATTATGTGGCCACATATTGCTGGCACAGCCATGAATGATCTTCAATCGCAGGGTGGTCATGCCTGAAAGTCTACAGCGCAGAGGGCAACCTAACAACTTTGGCAGAGTCTTGTATGTCTCCTTGAATTTATTATGGGTTATACTGCAGCATGTCCTGAGTTCATCTACTGCTGTCAACTTCTATATTAAAAGTAATAGCGAACAGATTATCACTTCTTTGAGACTCATTGTATTGCCTATTATTGTTTTGTCCCTATGTGTGATTGTATCAGAGACGGTGTTGAGGGCTTAAAGCCCAAAAGTTTCAACTGACTAGAGATAAGCTAACTTTTTTTAGTCTGTTGACACCAAATTTTAGTCTGTTGAAACTTTGGTGTTTTCGTTGATACTGCTGTGAAAACTAAGGATATAAGTATGTCTCTACCCCGAAAAGCATTCCAGAAGATGTGGCAACTCTGTTAACTTTACTTCTGACTTGTGAGACCATTCCATATTGGCAATCTCGCCATCTAATAATCTTTTAGGAACTATCTGCTCATGGAGGTTAGTTTAGAGCATTACACACCAGTGAACTACATTCCTGAAATCTCGGTTCTCTACATGTTTATTCTATAATTTTTTTCCCCAAATTGAACAACCGCCCATCATGCTACTAATCTATTAGGCTCAATCCTATGCCGTAGCAGTTGAATTGGGGACTAGAATACTTGAAACCATCCATTTTGGAGATCCCAATTGCAATACAGCTGACACACACAGCTCCAACTGACAATTGCTTATTTATTCTTTCTACCACTAATCAAGTTTGCAATTCACAAACACGAAGAGGAAATTATTCATTCACCCACCAGCCAAACTGACCTTGGTGAGGGTAAGAACACGGACAGACTTCCCGCTACTCCGCCGCCTCGGCCTTGTCCTTGGAGAATCCGGCGATGTCGCTGGTCCTGAAAAAGTTCTCCCAGTTCCCCCCATCGAACTTCCTGTACTCGACGTGCTTCACGGTGCCGGGGTCGACGCAGGCAACGGTGACGGCCACGCCGTCCGGGTTGGACCGCGGGGTGTAGAAGGAGGTGATGCCGCAGACCTTGCAGAGGGTGTGCTTGGCCGTGTGCGTGCCGAAGGTGTAGATGGTGATGAACTCGTCGGCGCCGGCCTGCAGCTTGAACTTGGCGGCGGGGACGATGAAGTGGGTGTTCCCGCGCATGGAGCAGTTGGAGCAGTTGCAGATCCACGCCACCACGCTCGCGGGGGCCTCGACCTGCCACCGCACGCGCCGGCAGTGGCAACCGCCGGTGTGGACGACTGCCGCCTCGGAGGCCATGAAGGTCTGCAGAAGTGCAGAGAGCAGAAGCTCGCAAAAGGTCCTGCACGCTGCAGCTGACTTTGACTATGGCCTTGTTTAGATTAGGGTTAGAAATTAGTATTTAAGACCGTAACATTTTCGTTTGTATTTGATAATTATTATTCAATCGCGATTTAACTAGGCTTAAAAGATTCGTCTCGTAATTTACAATCAAACTGTGTAATTAGTTATTTTTTTATCTACATTTAATACTTCATGCATGTGTACAAAGATTTGATGTGATAGAGAGAGTGAAAAAAACTTGCAATCTAAACAAGGCCTATATTATTAGCACGTTCGCTTGAGCTTATTTACTGCTACTTTTCAGCTACAATAATATAGCCAAACTATGTTTCAGAGCAGTTGCTGGAGTTTGGTGTAAAACAGCTCTGATAAAATAGGTTTTAAAAATTTCAGCTTCACTTATTTGAAAAAATTTAGTAAAATAACTTATGCTTGCTATTGAAAGCGATAATGCTCAGAATTAGGCGTTTGTCCGTCCGACAGCGGCTTTCCAAGCCTACAGCCAGATAGCCCATGAGACCTACTCACCTCTCTCATGCCTCCCCATCTCTCCAAAAAAATCTCCGTACTCATGCCGCCGCTTGCCATCCCCGCCATGCCCCACTCGCCTACTTTGTCGCGGTGGCGGCGTTCGCCGCGCCATCACCACCCCGCCGCCACCAGGAGAAGGTCGTCGTCGGCCAAAGACACTAGGGATCGCGCCACCACCGACTTGAGCTTCACAGTCATGACGAGTCGTGCCCGCCGGTGATCTTGTGTGTTTCTAAGTGTTTCAGGTGTTTCAGACGTATGTTTCAAGTGTTTTATTTAGATGTTGCATATTTTGCAATGGCTATATACGCATGTTGGAAGCATATGTTTAATGTTGCAAACATATGTTTCGAGTGTTTCAGGTGTTTCAGACGTATGTTTCAAGTGTTTCATTTGAATGTTGCAAAAGTAGATCTGGATGTTGCATATACATGCATGTTGCATGCGTATGTTTCAAATATTTTAGGTGTTTCATATGTATGTTGCAAGTGCTTTTATCTGGATGTTGCATATCTTTGCAATGGCTACAGACGTCTGCCGCTAGTTGATCCCTATTGAAAAGCAAAATATCTAAGATACCTTTCTTTTTTTTACTTCCCTCATTTTACCCTTCACTCTCCATCTTATCGTCTCCACCGTATGCCCCTTCATCTTTATCCACCGCACACGCTTTCTATGGTATTGTATTGCTCCTTTCCGCCTACGCCATCCCTCGTCTCCGTGTTCCTTTTTTTGGTTCATGCTTGGTGGCCTCACCTCCTTGCCTCACGCCAACGTGGAGCCCAAATACAAGATGTGGGAGAACAACAACATGTGGAGCACGCAAGAGGAGAAGGCGACACATGGGCCAAGGGCATCGGTGTCCATCGAGAAGGTGCCGATAGAAGTGGATTTTTCAACTTCTCCACCTCCCGTGGGCCTCTCAATGTGATTTTTAGGGATTCCTTGGCGAAGTTGTTTTGATTGCTCCGTTTGGTGGCGAGTCATGAAACTGCTTGTGGAGTGACTCTAGAAGTGCTACCAAATGGGGCCTACTTTAACTGTACATCGATATTGTCATAGGGTACATCTATTTGACTATTTCCAACCAAGCCAAATGCCGTGTAAGGCTTCCATTTAAACCACATCCACCACTTAGGACACATGGCCTTCACAAATTTTTGTAGGTCAATGATCACGAGTCCCCTGTCTCTTTAGGAGATTATTAGTGGAGAGGATGAAATATTCCACCTAAAATTTTGTTTCACAATTGATGAATAGTGGATAATAAATGTTCACAATGGTATAACACTTGAATGTGCAAATGGGTCGATGTAGCATCTAGTTTTAAGAACAAAACCAGATACACACCATATATGAGCCTAGAAAGTCAAATCTCATATATAGCTACAAATAAGGGTAATATGGAAAGACAAATGCTTAATATATAACATACTTAGTATAAAGGATATAACCTTAGACAGCAAACAGCAGAAAAACAACTCCGATCTTCGGGTGAAGACTCCAATTCCACAGAGACAACTGACTGGTTGATCACAAGCCTAATTCCTCCAAACTCTAGCAATCTGGTCCCATCCGAGATTTTCCAAAGATTTAAAAAGTAAAGCAAGCATAAGTATATGTCGTACTCAACAAATATAACATGGGGTTCATGAGGCTCAAAAGGCTGACACTGATTTAACTGCAATTAGCTTTTAATGAGTCATCTTTTAGTAATTGGGTGGCAACAAGTTTATTCATAAGCCCATATAAACGCATGATCAGGTAAGCATGAATAATGAATAGCTTAAACAGTAATCATTGGTAAGCATCTTCATCATCAATATCATCCATGTTCATCATCTATTACCAAAATGTTCTAAGGTTAAGCTCGTGGACCGTGAGCACGAGCGATATATACCAGTTTACACTCTGCGAGAGGTTGTACACTTTTACTGTGAGTAGTGATTTACCCTTTCGCCCGAGGTGATCAACCTCTTGACCTACTACCAAGGAAGGTTGGCAGGGTTCACTATGAAACCTTTCAAAGTTATTATGGTTGCCAAGGTAGACACATGCAGCATGAATTAAATTATTAAAGTGAATAGAACAACAAGGAAGATCCCATGCTATACTTGCCTTAAAACATCGATCCTTCGGTAAGCTTTAACATTTAACGTTCTTCTTCTTCTTCTTCTTGATCACCACGTATATCTCACCGATTTGGGCGTAATCGTAGAACACCACACAATCACCCATACACATACATGCATAGCATACAATTACATCTACATTAGAACAATACACTAATCATAGAAAAATAAGTAAAAGAGTTTGCAATACGACTCTACGCATCGCTACGAACACATAGGCACGAGAGGCACGCTAACCGCAAGAGCTACAGGTTTGAAAGAAATAGCTACCAAAGATCTACTCATAAGAGAAAATATAAAACTATAAGCTTTATGAGTTTTAACCATATAAAAGCTTATATAAATTGAATTAAGACAAATTTAGATTTGAATTACTAAACTAAAATAAAACAAATCATATTTTATTTATAAAATCTAGTTGTATAATTATTATTCAAATTAAAGTTTATACCATGAAATTATAGAAATAGAGACATGATAAACATTGTTACCAACGCGTAGATCTCATTGTAATGAATCTAGCGCAACTTGAAACAGATCAAATTAGAGCTAAAAGCGTAGAAAATATGAATTAAACAAGACTTTCTTTAATAAAATAATGGATTAAATCTAACCTCAAATTTTAAAGTTGAAAACATGTCCAACAGTAGTATGAACATGTAGACAACGTAAATACAAACCTAACATAAGTTGAACAGGTCAAATCAGAGAGTTAAAACGGAGAAAATATAGCCTAATGAAGATAGTGGCAATCTTGTAAATAGATGGAACTTGATTTTGAGTTTAAAATAAATAAAAATCAAATTTTAAACCGACCAGGATTGCGAGCATTATTTAAAGAAAAGGCGGGGACTTTTTTTGAAAAAAACCAGGGACGGTAGGTTGAAATCAAATAATTATAAGGGCCTTCTTGCAAAAATGACAAGCGAAAGTGCAGGGCTAATCTGAGCCGTTGGATCCAAGATGGATGGTATGAGATTAGAAGGATGGAAGGAGAGGAAGAAACGCCACCACTAAATGAAGGACGACGTCGGCGGCTTCCATGGTCGGCGTTAGAAGCTCACCGGCGCCTTCGAATTAGGCCTAGGAGGCCACGGTTTGGCTCGGAAAAGTACGGAAAGGAAGAGGAGACCAAAGCGAACCCGATGAGGGTTTATGATGGCCGCGATGACACCGAAGCGGCGCTTGGGGCTCGATGAGGCAGGTCGGACTCACCGGTGAAACTCCGCATGACGCGAAGCGAGAGACGAGAGAGAGAAGGATGGCGCGCAGACGGTACCTACGGGTTCCTTACCTTTGTGCCACGCTTCGGGAAGCGGTTCGGACGACGACGGAGCAATGGAGCAATGAGGCAAACGGCGGCGACGAACTAGGGCTTCTGGCTTGCTTGCTCTCGTGACTAGTCGCGCCGGAGTTCAGGATGGGCGGCGCGGTACCTGCGTCTCGCTATTTAAGGGAGCGGGTAAGAGTGGGGTGCATGGTAGACGGTGACGGGGCGGGCGCGGATTCCATGCCGGTGGCAGAGTCCGGGTCGAGGAAGAGCCTGAGGTAGATGATGGCGCTGACAGGTGGGGCCAAGGTATCGTAGAGAGGAAGAGAAGAGAAGCATGTGCGGTGGCCTGCTGCTGCAAGTGCTGAGGCTAGGCCTAACTTGGGCCTTGGTGGAAGCCAGAGAGAGGGAAGCGCATGGGCTGACTCGGGAAGCGGGGACCGGTGGGCTGGGCCGTGGAAAAAGTAAAAGGCCGGCGGGCCAAAAACCGAGAAAGAGGAGAGAAAGAAAAAGAAATTCCTTTTTATTTTTTTAAACACATTTTCACACCAAATTCAATTTAAATTTAAATCCTTTTGAAATTTTGATCAAACCCAAGCATCACAAAATAAATATGCATCAACATGAAGGCACAAACATGTTGCTACCTTATGATAAATTTTAAATTCATGAAATTTTTTATTTTCCTATGTTTTCATGAGCGCATAAATTCAAAATCAAATCATTTTAACTCTATTTCCAAAAATTCAAATTTTAGGGTGTTACAATTCTACCCCTTTAAGATGAATCTAAATCCCCGAGATTCGGAAGACGTCGACTAGGGGACGGGGATACTTTGTCTTTGGATTCTTCTTTACTTCCTCGTGTAATTCCATCTTCTTGATAAGGATCTCACTTTACTTTGCATACACATTGACCTTACTCCAAGTGACTTGCCAAACTGATTCCAAGATTACGACGGATACTTCAAATAATACTCGGTAACTCCAATCACTAGGCCACCTTTTCCTATAATACCAATT